TCCCAACAGAGAAAAATTTGTGTCTGTATAGCTGACACACCCTTTGCCTTGCACAATATCCCACTTGTGAATTTGCTTTAGATTACTGAGGCGGATAAATACGTTTCATGCTATTCAGGAGACAACTCATATTGAGTCATATGTAGACCTCTTGAGGTGGCCTGGTGTGTGTGTGCACGTGCACATGTGGGTGCACATACATGTAGAATGGGGCTGGAGAGTGGTCACAACTTATTATACAGTGTGTTTTAATACATTTTTTAGTCTCTTTATATTTCTATAATTAAATTGTAAAAATGTCCATTAATATTACTGAAGAATGACTTCAACTTTGAGATTTCAGATATCTATGTTCTGTTTCAGTCGTATCAATCCAGTCATTTTGAATCGGGCTGATCTTCTATCTATATAGTGTGGATTTCAGTAATTATTCCCTCTTTGCCTCCTGTTACCAAATATAACTAAGATTTGACCCTTTTTGACAGTTACTGAAATAGACTTACTATCTAATCCTGAGAAAAATTCTTTACAAATCACTCTGATCTGATTGCCTCATTTATGTAAATATTCCATCAAAAGTGAACTTGAGAAAATTTCAACAGTAGCTAACCGATCATTATAAAATGGACAATAAAAAGGTGTCCATGTTAACTGGATTCAGAGATGTATTACCTAACAGGTAATATAAAAGATAACCATTTCATGCCTTATGTTTTGGATTTTTAGTATAAAACAAGTTATATTTTCCATATTACGTCTCCATTATTAAGTTTCTCAACCTCAGCACTATTAATATTTTGGGATGGATATTCTTTGTTGTGAGGAGCTGTCTTGTGTATTTTAGGATTTTTAGCAGCATCCCCGGCCTCCACTTACTATATGCTAGTAGCACTTCCTGAGTTGTGACAGCTAAAAATTTACCCAGGCATTGCCAAATGTCTGTTGGGAGAGGAGAACACAACTGTGTTTAAGAACCACTGATACGTAGGACTTTGAGAACTGCCATTCAAATATTTGTTATCATATCACTTCATGTATTCTCAGAAATTTTACCTTGATACAATAAAACAAATAAGGAAACATGTCCCTCACACAAAATAATGAACTATTGATGTAAAATAATAATGAGAAATTTTCTTTATTTTTTTTTTTACTTATAAAAATTGGGGGACAGTGTTTTCTTATCTTCAGTACTTACAGGAACTAAATCATATTATGAGACATGAAAACTTACCTAAATTGTTATTGTTGTTGATAATTATAACATTCTGCAGCACTTTTCTGAAAGGTACCAAGATATTTTAGAAGTTCTTAGAGTGCCCAAGAGGATTGCATAGTTTCTTATGATCAAGGATTTCTCTCTCTCTTTTTTTGTATATTTTTTTATTGGAGTTTAATTTGCCAACATATGGTATAACCCCCAGTGCTCATCCTGTCAATTCCCCCCACCTCGATGCCCGTCACCCAGTCACCCCATCCCCCCCACCTACCTCCCCTTCCACTACCGCTGTTCGTTTCCCAGTTAGGAGTCTCTCATGTTCTGTCTCTCTATTTCCCACTCATTTCCCTCCTTTCCCCTTTAATCCCTTTCACTATTTCTTATATTCCCTGAATGAATGAGACCATATCACGTTTGTCCTTCTCTGACTGACTTACTTTAGCATAATACCCTCCAGTTCTATACACGTTGAAGCAAATGGTGGGTATTTGTCGTTTCTAATGGGATTTCAATGAACTCTTTTCACCTGGGCACCTTGTCAAGAGGTGACCATGGGAACTCAGACATAAAGTAATTTCAAGAACTCTTTGGGGGCTCTTTTGCTATCAGAACTTCCATTCCAGGACCCACGACTTCTCTTATTACACTGATCCAGAACATAATGTATATTTTCATCTGCAGGAGACGTTTAGGTCATTGGAACAAATTACCGCAGGGGTACTTGAGTGGATCAGTCGATTAGCCTTTGGCTCAGGTCATGATCTCAGGGTCCTGGGATGGAGCCCATAGTCAGGGTCCCTGCTCTACGGGCAATCTGCTTCTCCCTCTGCCCCTCTTCCCACTCAGGTGCTCTTTCTGTCTCTCAAATAAATAAATGCAATCTTTAAATTAAAAAAAAAAAAGACCAACTTACTCCAGTACATTTGGAGTGGCACCTCCATCAGCAGAGAAATACAGCTCTTTTGAGGAACACTTAGTGGATGTCCAGTGGGCCAGGTAATGGGAATTCAGAGATAAATGGGATATAGTTCTCATGTTCAAGGAGCCTTCAGTCTAGTGTAAACAATGTTTAAGACCTCTGCTAGAGGATGAAACAAGTAATAGTCAATGTTATGGCATCTGTAATGTTGTTTTTTTTTTTTGATTTAAAGTTCATCACAGTAACACAAGGAGTAATGTTTTCCCTAAAATGGATCATCAGCCCACAATAAGACATATGAATGCTTGCATTGTTTTGTAGGTCTCTGTTTCTGAAGAGCTTTGAAAGATTTGAATAGACTCCCCCACTCATTCTTCACTGATATTGGAGTTCTTTGCAGTCTGCTTTGCAAACAGATATTGTGAGACATCCATTCAAAAATAACCACCTTGTAAAAGAGGCATTGAATCAGAACCAGCTGGATTGCTTATATGCCCCTAAAAGTTGGTATTCTCTTATGCAACAATAATTTGTTTAACGCCAAGTCTACAGTGTTCCACCTGCCATTTTAGCCTCCCCAGAGTACATTTATCTCAGTTCTTAGTTGCCCGGCATATCTTTCATACTATTGTGCCTTCATGAAATGTATTATAGCTCTTACATAAGGAATGTCCAGAATCCTGACAAAACATTAATTAGGATGTGAAAAGTCATTAAAAACAGGGACTTTTTTTTCTGCATTTAGAAGTGAAGGCCTTGATTAGGGATCTGGGACTTTATGGTACTGAGAAACAGATTCTTCACATCAAATGAAAAAAGCAGTAACACTAACTGATGTATGGCACGGCCATTTTATTTCCTATTAGAATTATGTGTTGTGATAAAACCACTTTAAATTTCTTCAGAACTTTGTTGAATTTTAAAATTCAGGTAGCTGTCCATGGTTTCTGGTCCTTGAGAAGCCAAGTGGAGAACTCTGTGAGTCTGATATGGTGTGCTATATAGAGCCAGTTCTGACTACCCATCACATGCATTTGTTTCTTGTGTGGGGCTTCTGCTTGATGAACTTGGACTGGTTGGCTGCCCCTAGTGTGATGGCGCCAAATCAACATGTGCTGCATCTGAAATCACTTGGAGTCTAGGAATTTTAGGTAGAACTGCTACGTTCGTGGCTCAGGAAAACAGATATAGATGCTTCATACCACTATTTTTTCAAGACTTTGAAAAGCAGTTTTTTTAGCAGTTCCCCCAAGAAACACATTGCAATCCAATATACATTTACATACATATTTATTCATTTGTTTATATATAAATGTATATATAGACACATATTTACATATATGCATATGAACTCCTTACATTATAAATATGTTAGTAAAGAAGACAAAAGTTTTATGAAATCATATTTATCCTTATGACTTGAGTTGTACTTATTTCCACCTCTATTTAATTTTTAAAATTCTGTTTATAGCTACTAGATGAATTTCATAGCCTGCAGATTAAAAAGCAATGGCCTAAAAAAAAAAAAAGCAGTGGCCTAGGTGATCTGCACATATCTAGCAGTAAATAACATTGTATCACTTTAAGCAGGGGCAAATGCATGAGGTGGTGCTATATTTTGACCTATCATTTGATGCAAAATGACATTATGAATCCTGCAATTTGACTGGTACATCAAGTTTGCTACAGAAAAGGCCTTTCTCTAAATTTCATTTGCTAAGGTCACTGCCAATACTTCTTTATCATATTAAAGCCTCTGCGAAGCCAGTTATTGCTAACTGGATAAATACGTATTTTACTTCTTGATATGAAATGTCAGTAGCAATTTACCTTACAGAAATCTGAACATAAAGGAATTGGCACATATTTTTAAAACTGTATTGCAAAGTGTTTTCTCTGCAACTAGTTTATGTATATTGTACATTTTTCCAAAAAAATATTTAAGAATTCATATACTGTTTGGAATGATAGTAAGTAATGTTTTCTCATACTATCCTACTTTTCGAGACAGTGGTTTTTAAGACTTGGGGATCAAGACCTATTTGAAATTTGGATGAGATCTATGGCCCAGCTCCCTAGAATGAACAAAATATTTATTCCATAGACCCTCACTGGAGAACCCTTAACCTGAATGAAAGTCACTGTTCATGTCATTTCTCCAGAACTCAGTCAACATCTCTTATAATTACCCTACTGGAAGGAGGCATCATACTCCATTCTATGGGTATCAAAACCAGCAGTGCCTTATTTGATTCTACCAGTGTGCATACACATGTACTCATGAAGCAATGAGATCTACTGGGTTGAGACTAGAACAGTCTAGGAAGCAACTCCGTTGGGCCTGTGTCCATCAACACAGCAGCCAGATTGGGCTGTAGGACCAGCCGCTGCAGGGTAGCAGAGAGGAAGCACAGCTGCGGACAGCCTCTCACAAGTGTTTAAAGCTCTTACCAAAGTCACCATGTCATGAGTAGGGCATACCATGGTATCTCTTCTTAAAAATGTGTAAAGTAATATATTTACTAGATTGTACCCAATGCTGTAATTTTTGCAAATACATAGAACATTCAACACTGAGCAGAAAACCCAACAGATTCTAAAGCAAGGTAAAACACTATAAACCACATGACTAGGGCACCACTGCCACCTTTTGGTAACATCACTTAATTGCAGGTTCTGGGGAGAGAAACTTGTATTAAACAGAGATTATAATGTTAAAGTTATGAAATGATAGAGAATATACATCCCTTGATCTGCTGAAATAGAGGGCATGTATTGTTAGAGCTTGCTTTGGTTCTGCCCTGTGCATCTCACATAGCTGTCCTGGCTTTGATTTCATGGGTTCTCTGTACCTCTTGGCAGGATCGGGGGAGCCATTCCCACTGTGTTCCCCTACTTTGCTGAAGTGCTGGCCCGAGAGAAGCGTGGTGAGCATCTGAGCTGGCTCTGCATGTTCTGGATGATTGGTGGCATCTACGCCTCTGCCATGGCCTGGGCCATCATCCCACATTACGGTAAGAACCTGGCTTTACACGAGCCCGGCAGTCACCTTATTTTACTTCAGCCTCCATTCTATCCCCTTCCTGTTTGTAAATGCTGGTTTGAGAACAACACTGTCATAATCTAGTTTTTCCCTTTTGTCGTATCTAGGTTTTTCCCCCTAGTACAGAAATCTGTATAAGACAAGACTGTGCCAGTGGTCTTGTAGGAAATATTATTGCATTTTGCTGTTTTTAAAAAGTGATCACTTTCATTTGTTTTTTATATGCTATCAACTCTGGGGTCCCCACCAAGATGGACGTGAAAGACAGATCATAATCGGCATGTGAGGCAACATGATTTACTATTGTTTTGAGGACCATTATCCACATCAGACACACACAAGAGCCTTGACTTGTCCCCTCTGGGTGCCGTCCAAAACTCGCCCCCACGCCAGCCCCCCTCCTCTGGCGGCTCAGAACGGGATTAGAGCAGCAGGAAGCCTGTCTTGGCATGGGCCCTGTGTCTGCGGAACTGAGGAGGTGATTCTGCTGTCCTTGCTGCCAGGATCCCTCCTCGGTTTCTTCTATGACTTGTTGTTCCTGCCACCTCTGAACACTTAAAGGTCTCATGTTTCTGAGCAGGAAGTATTGTCCTGCTTAGAAGCCAGAAACTTCCAGTTGCTTTACCCACAAACAGTGAAATGCAGGGAGAGGTTCACAGAACCCAGACATCAAATTCAATATATAAGGAGAAGGGGAGAGAAGGTGGTGTGTGTGTGTGTGAGAGAGAGAGAGAGAGAGAGCACAAACATGTTGAAGTTTGCAAATTATGAATTCTGTGTAAATTAGAACCACGTGTGGACTTCAAAAACTCACTGTTTGTTCAACCTAAAATCTAATTGATGGTCGGGGTGAAAAATTAGATTTCAAAAATTCACTTTTGGATCACTTTTTTTTTTTTCTGCTTTTGGGTTAGAACAGCAAATTTACTATAAAGTCTAGTTTTGTTAGGAAACAACGTTCAGTGAATTTGACTCGTTGCTAAAATTAAAGACAAGATGTAGACTTTAGTATTTGAAGGCACTGTTATATGTTTTACCGTACTGAGTTACAAAATTCATGTTTGTCACACTCTCTTTTAATAAATCTAGAAAATGAGGTGCCTGGGTGGCTCAGTTGGTTAAGCATCTGACTCTGGGTTTCAGGTCAGGTCATGATTCTGAGTCCTGAGATCCAGCCTCTCCCACCCCTGACCCCCACACTGTAGTTGGGCTCCCTGCTCAGCAAGGAGTCTGCTTCTTCTTCTCCCTCTACCCTTCCCCCCACTCGCGCACTCTCTCTCTCCCAAATAAATAAATCTATCTTTAAAAAAATAAATGTAATAATCTTTAAAAAAATAATCTTTAAAAAAATAAAGTTACTGTAAATCAAAATTGTATATAACAATAACAAGGAAGACATAAGGAATTGGTTACTTGGCCTAAAGGGCCAAGTTTCTTTGCCAAACACTTGAGTGGGACATGCCAAGCTCAAGTGATGGGTTTTCCTTTCTTTTAAGACTCTGGTCAGTTCAGGGCCGGAGATACCCTCACACAGGCAGTTACTCAGGCCCGCCGTAAGGCTGGTTTTGGGCCACCATCTGAGGAACTACAGGTGATTCTCCTGCTTTGTCTGGGCCCTAAGGACCTCAGCCACCCTCAGAACTTGCTCCTGCCCCCCTGGGCTGGCTGTTTTGAATGGAAATGCTACTTAGCTTCTCAGGAACTCTGTAAGGAGACAAAAAGGAGAGATGCCGAGCCTGGGCAAAGTCCAGCTGTAGTCTGCGTTGCTCCTGGGACTGCCCTAGTCCAGATGCAACCTTTGTACACAGTAAAATCAGGAGCCCATCCCGGCGGACGCGGTTGCAGTTGCTGTGGCCGCTGCAGGGGCAGCCCGAGTCCCCCCAGGCCAACCTCCTTGGCTCCTGGGGCTCGCCCTCTCCTTCCTGGTGCCCTTCCCATCACATGTCAGAATTTCTCCTGCTGGTCTTCCTAAGCTCCTAAGTCGGATTGGCTTCTGCAGTCTGCACATTTCCACCAGGCTGGGTGTGATTGCTTGTTTTGTTTTTGTTTTTGTTTTTGTTTTTTTTCCTCACTAGGTATTTAGTTCCTCAGACTCCTGCTTCACACATTCCTACCCTCAAGCTGTGGCAGGCTCTGGATTTTGCCTCCGGACTTATCAACCGGTGGCTGACCCCCCCCCAAAAAAAAATGAGTGTAATTCCACCTCTAGTTCTCTCAAGCACACATAGGGTATCCTTTTTTACAGCAAAAAGGGCTGCCTCATCCATATGTCACTAGAAAGAGCTGAGGCTATGAATCATAAACAGTACATAAAAAGTTACCAAAATACCAATAACAGTATAACAGAATAAAGTGTGTCTGAGGCTGATATTAATTTATATGTTAAAGGAACCTTGAGGAATAATGACCTGGTTAAGAAATCAGTAAGGGAATATTAAAACCTTATGCCCATGCCTTATTGAAGGCTTTCCATGGCCAGAAATGTGGCAAAAGCAACAATTATTGCAAACAAGCCTGTCTAGATATTAAAATCAATAAGGGGGGATTTTTAAATACCCTTGACAAGTTCATTGTTATACTCTTGCAACTTGAAGAGTTTTAGTTATTTCAAAATAAAAGAAGTTAGTTTTAAAAATCCTCTCTTGAGGCTTCTAGGGGGTTATCATGTTTTGTATGTTCATGAGGGGGAGGGTGTTTTGAGGGTATTCATTTATAAAAATTCATTAAGCTGGATACTTAAAATTTGTGTATGTCACTATACAGAAGTTATACATTTTAAATAAATGGTTTTTTAAAAAAGCTTACCACTTCCCTTACCTCCTGAAAATACACATGCTTCCCTTACCTCTGAAATACCTGCTTCCTACCTGAAAATACACATGGTCTGCCCCAGGTCAATCGAATCTGGTTATCTGGGTTGAGGACTCAGCATGGATTTTTTTTAAAGATTATTTATTTATTTACTTACTTACTTATTTACCTATTCTTTCATTCATTCATGAGCAACACAGAGACACAGGCAGAGGGAGAAGCAGGCTCCATGCAGGGAGCCCAATGTGGGACTCGATCCCAGGACTCCAGGATCATGCCCTGAGTGGAAGGCAGACACTCAACCACCGAGCCACTCAGGCGACCTGCATGTTTTTAAAGCCATTTAAAGCTGGTTCTCTGCAGCAAGGTTTGAGACTCCAGTTTCCTACCTCTCCCAGGGGGGCGATCTGATCTGGGAAGCCCCTGGGACTTCATCGTATATGTATAAGGAAGGCTGTAACTGGAAGCAAAGAGAAGAATGAGCCTGGCTGCCATGGTTGACTTATTCAGTGGGGCTTTAGCTTTCCGTATTGTTGGTTTCATCCTGGCTACAGGACTTTCCTGCTCATGTGGCTTAGAATCACTTAAAAAGTTATTTGACATCTTGCTATGTCTTCTTCTCAATGCCACATCTTTTTACTTTACTTAAGGTAGATGAGGGCTGTTAAGTCCATCCTCTTTCCGTGCAGCTTCTGAAAAATTGAAAAGGTTTCTCTTTTCCCCTGAAATTCTGCATTGTATAAATGATGTCACAGACCACTGACAACTGAGAGTCGTGGGTCCTGGACCCCATCCAGTTTCATTCAAGAGACCTCTGGGCAGGACAACCAGCACAGCCCGTGGAGTTTTCATCCAGCAGGGGAGGAATTGGGGAGCATTATGAAGCGACTCAGAGGAGGGTACTGACCCTTCTCACACCAGTAACAGGATTTGTGCTAGAGGGAAAGAATCCAAAACTGGCATCCACACTGCAAGCAAGTCAAATGGTAAGTGATGCAGAGAAGAAGGTGTTTGTGGCGTTGCCTTTCTGCTTCTGTGGCACAGCAGTCAGTGCATGAAGCCTTGCTCCTAGTGCCGAGAGACTTGAATTCTGACTCCAGACAAGCTTTTTACACAAAGGAGATCATGAGGCATCACTAAGGGAGGGAAAGATCTGGAATGATCCTTACAGAATTAGGCAAAGCCAGGAAGGGAGTTTGGATGGCTGCCAGGACTCCTGAGTTAACCTGTGGGCTGTGGCCAGGGTTTGCTGATGGACGGGGATGGCCCAGCCTGCCCAGGCCTCGTTTCTGTGCTGGCCTCGGACTATGATGGCGCTTTACCTTCACAGACCATCACCAGCATCCGAAGGTGCCCAACATCACGCTACATTGCCCTCTCTGACGAGGCCTTAGGAGGAGGCAGTTTGACTGTCGTCACCTTTCCTGCTGGTCACTGCTGCCACCTGCCCTGGGATCCCGGTGAGGGAGGAGACAGTGGGGAGGAGCAGCTTCCTTCAGCCTCCCTCCTCTTGAGAGACCGGTGGCTGCCCATAGCACTTCCTCTCCGGGCTGACAGCTGCCCTGGGGTCACGGCGTCCATTCCCCTAAGCCCTCCAGTGCCATCCTGTCCTTCCAATTCGCACCCCCTCGTCCCAGCCCGTGGGACCCGCTCCCTGGCCTCCATCCCCCTCACACACCACCCGAGCGGGGGCACCCCAAAGCCCAGGCCCCCCCGACCCCCTTCAGCTTAAAAGCTCACATATTCCCGAGATTCCAACACCCAAGATGTCCTGCTCCCCTTGGTCCCGAGGTGTGCGACGCTGTGCACAGGCCGACCCAGGCCCAGCGGCTGGGGGTCCAAGAAGCAAGCAGGAGCTGGTCCCTTCCAAAGCGCTGGGGCCAAGGAGGGGGGCAGTGAGTGCTGCTCTGCAGTCCCCGCCGCCCCAGTCTGGGTGGGAGCTTGGCCTAGTTTTCAGTTGCCTCCCACCCCATTTTCTGACCGGCATCATGGTGGGGCTTAAGTGTGACAGGTGTGTTGGAACACATGTCTGATTAGTGCTCAAAACATGGTAGCTCCACGTGCTGCAGGTTCCTCTGAGTCAGATACCCAGGCCCGTCAGCACAGCCCAGCAAGAGCTCAGAGCTACAGGGAAACAAGGAGAACGTCAGAAGGTAAACC